TTTTTTTTTTTTTTTTTGTTAAGCAGGCCCAGGCCAGGTTCAAACTCATCAATCCCAGTGCACAGGGCTGGCACTCTAACCACTGAGCTATGGGCACCTAGCCAAAGAGTAAGTTCTTTTTAACACTGATGGACAAAGCTACAAGAGAACAACTAGATCAGATGTTAAGAGATATTTTCAGACCACCTGCAAAACAGATATTTCAACACAAACTGGCCGAACACACACTCCATCAGAAGACAGTGTGACAGTGTCACACTGGCAATAGAGGAGCATTAAATAGTCCACACAGTGTTTAATTTAGAAAATTCGATCTCTTCCCCATGTCATAGCAGCCATCTAGTTGTTTGGCCCTAACCCTTGACATTACCATGTAAATCAGATTTCCACAGTGTTCTTTTTAAAATCTTTCATTACGAAAAACGTTAAATATACGTAAGAACAGAAATGAAGTATTATAAACCCTCCTGAGCTCAAGAAACAACTTAAATAAAATTAACTCCTGTCTGGTCTTGTTTTATCTGTCCCCAGGCCTACAGCCCATTCCCTCCGCCACCATCCTCTGCCTGGCTAGATTACTTTTCAAAGATATCCCATACATCAGTGTAATCTCATCCATAAATACTTCAATATATCTCTTTATAAATTAATTCTTAAGTATATCTCTTTTTGAAATATTGTCTTTAAAACATGGCTATAATACCATTATTACACATAAAAAAGAATCCTTAAATCTCAGAAATACCTCTTTAATAGGTACTTAGTTTGAATTAAGATTGGGCTGGTTTGGTTTATATGCCTCTTAAGTCTCTTTTAAACTGTAAGAATTTCTCCTCCCTTTTTTTCTTGCCATTTGTTAAAATTGTCTTGTAAGTTGGTGACTATGACAGGCATCTTCTCTCTTCCCACATGCATGACTCTTTTGGAACACTGACAGAGCAGACGTACCTGCTTTTCAGTGGCAGTGGTGCATTTCCCGGTAAGTGGATTATTAAGGACTATAGTGTAGGTCATGGTTCTCAGTTGATCACCTCCAGTTTCTGCAGTCCAAGGGGTAGACACTATATCTAATCACAGCAAACACAAAATGAGTTAGTTCTAGAAATCTGAAGGGTATGACTTTAAATGTAATCCAAGGCATAGTTCTAGAATTATTTAATTTTTTATTTTTGAGCAGTCCTAACCTCCTTGTAACTCTGGGTTGTAAGTTTAACAGTGAAGAGAGATTAAGTGCTAGGCACTCCTCTTACATGTGACATATTCCCCATCTCTGATGCATTTATTTCAAAATTGTTTTCTATTAATATACTTTCTTGTTTTTTAGAAGGTAAAATAAAAGTTCATTCATCTGTAGGCTTCTTTTTAAAATCTCCAATACCTATGAAGAGAAGTAATGTCAACAAAAACAGATAGAACAACACTTTAACATTCCTCTCATTGAGGACCAAACTCTGGAAGACATTTGTCATTATGCAGCAATATGACCTTGATACCGATCTGTGGAGAAATCACTTTAATGTTATGAGACATCATATAATGTTACTGGCTTGTCTGCTGAAATCTTTAATCAAGGTAGGCGATGGAACATAAATGTTTATATAAATTTTTCCATATTAACAAGGCATTGCATAGGAAAATGACATCACCTATAAATATATAATTTTGTTTGCATAAAAGTTTCAAAAAAAAAAATAATAATGGACCAGGCACGGTGGCTCATGCCTGTAATCCCAGCACTTGGGAGACTGAGGCGGGTAGATTGCCTGAGCTCATGAGTTCAAAACCAGCCTGAGCAGGAGTGAGACCCTGTCTCTAAAAATACAGACGAACAGGGAGGCACCTGTGGCTCAAAGGAGTAGGGTGCCAGCCCCATTTACTGGAGGTAGCAGGTTCAAACCCAGCCCTGGCCAAAAGCTGCAAAAAAAAAAAAAATACAGCCAGACATGGGGTGGACGCTTATAGTCCCAGCTACTAGGGAGAATGAGGCAAGAGAATAGCTTACGCCCAAGATTTTGAGGTTGCTGTGAGCTGTGACTGCCACAGCACTCTACCCAGGGTGATAAAGTGAGACTCTAGTCTCAAAAAAAAAAAAAAATCTAATGGTTAATAAATACCTGGATTATAAACTATATTTAAACTGACCATAGAGCAGGGCACTGTGGCTCACGCTTGTAATCCTAACACACTGGGAGGCTGAGGTTGATAGATCGCCTGAGCTCAGGAGTTCGAGATCAGCCTGAGCAAGAGCCAGATCCCATCTCTAAAAATAGCTGGACGTTGTGAGAAGCACCTGTAGTCCCAGCTACTTGGGAGGCTACAGCAAAAGGATCGCTCAAACCCAGAGTTTGAGGTTGCTGTGAGCTATGAGGCCACAGCCTTCTATCCAGAGTGACCAAGTGAGACTCTGTCTCAAAAAAAATAAAATTAAAAAAATAGACTTGGCGCCCGTAGCACAGTGGTTAGGGCGCTGGCCATATATATGGAGGCTGGCGGGTTCCAGCCCAGCCTGGGACAGCTGAACAACAATGATAACCGCAACAAAAAAAATAGCCAGGTGTTGTGGCAGGCATCTGTAGTCCCAGCTACTTGGTAGGCTGAGGCAAGAGAATCACTTAAGTCCAACAGGTAGAGGTTGCTATGAGCTGTGACGCCACAGCACTCTACTGAGGGTGACATAGTAAAACTGTCTCACAAAAAAAAAAAGTTAAAAAAATAAACTGACCATAGAATAACTTTCCCTGACTATGTCAAATGACTCATATGACTCTCTGTTGCTGCTGTCTTCTAATTTTATATGACAAGCTAACTGGGGTGCTCCTAAAGCTAACAAAATAGCTTATTTGAGTTGTTTACCAAAATAGAACTTTTTTTTTCAAATTAGAATGTTTACAAATAATTTATGAGCACAACCAATTTCTTAAATAGAACCACTTTTTGGATTTTCATTGTGCTATACTATATCAGGGGTCCTCAGACTTTTTAAACAGGTGGCCAGTTCACTGTCCCTCAGACTGTTGGAGAACCGGACTGCGGGCCCCGGGACGAGTCAACTGCTAAGCAGGACAGGCAGCGGTGGCAAAAACACCCAGCGGGCCGGATAAATGTCCTAGGCGGGCTGCATGTGGTCCACAAGCTGTAGTTTGAGGACACCTGCTATAGATACTACATACCGTGATCTCAAGTGATAGCTCCATGATTTCCACAAAGGAAATGCACACATGTACCAGCACTCAGATCAAGCTATAGTATTCATACCAGCATCCCAAAGCCTCGCTCTCCGTGTTTACCTATATGAATCTCCACAGTGGTGACCACTATGCTGACTATATACCCATCAATTCGTTTTGCCTGGATTTTAACTTTATATAAAAAAAATTATACATTGATAGCATGTACTCTTTATATGAAGAAAGTACACATGGGTAGGATAGCATGTACTCTTTATATAAAGAAATTATACATGGGTAGGATAGCATGTACTCTTTTGTATCTGACTTCTTTTGCTTAACATTGTATCTGTCTTTTTTTAAATTTGTTTGTTAGTTTGTTTGTTTGAGACAGAGCCTCAAGCTGTCACCCTGGGTAGGGTACTGTGGCATCACAGCTCACAGCAACCTCCAACTACTGGGCTTAAGCAATTCTCCGGCCTCTGCCTCCCAAGGAGCTGGGACTACAGGCACCTGCCATAACACTTGGCTATTTTTGGTTGCAGCCGTCATTGTTGTTTGGCGGGCTTGGGCTAGATTCAAATCCGCCAGCAGGTTGAGCCACAAGCGCCAAGCCAACATTGTGTCTGTCAAATTTATGTCGTTATAAGTGGTAGTAGTTTCCTTTTTTCATTACTATTATATTCTTTTGTGGAAACACACAATTTGTTTATTCTATTACTGATGGCTATTTGGGCTGTTTTGAGTTTTGAGCTATTATAAATAACACTGCTGTGAACATTGTAGCTCATGTCACTCAGAATACACATGTAGCCATTTCTGATGGGTGTATTCCTAAAAGTGGAATTGCTAAATCATAGAGAATTCATAGCTTTGACACCACCAAATCACTTAGGGCAAAGTGGTTACTCCAACTTATACTCCACCAGAACTCACTTGTTTCAAAACAGAACCCTTGTGAATTGAGTTTAACCCAATTATTTATTGGTACCTTAATGAATAAATTTAGTTTTAGTTTTCAAAGGGTCTGAACTTAATTGTGAGTAGCATATACCTAATTAAACAATTATACTGTTCACAGGTGAATTTAGCTAGACGTAAATACCAGTTTATATGTCACCAAAGTAAAATCAAAGAATGTCTAATTTTTTTTTCCCTCACAACACAAATTAGTTTTTATAGTAGACACTACCTTCTAAAGCAGGGGTGTCCAGTCTTTTTTTTTTTCCCTGCTACACATTGGAAAAATAAGAGCTGTCTTGGGTCACAAATTAAATTCACAAACACCAATGAAAGGTCCATGCACACTTGTCACGGTATCTGATACCACAGATAAGCAAAATAGTCCTCAAATAATCTACCTATGGGCTGCAGTTTGGACAATCTTACTCTAAAAATTATACAGAGTGTCCTATAAAGTTCATGAGCAATTGACAATGTAAAACTATTTTAAACTGCATTTATATAAAATCCTCCCAAATTTGTCATTTGGTAAGAACACAAGGACCAACCTATTAGATTTCTAGAATCAGCAAATTTCTGCATAAAGCGTGAACTGGTGAACAGCAACTCAAACATTCTCTCAGCACTGATATGAAAAACACGGTTGATATAAAGTCTTCCATGAAGATCTTTCTCAGGAATATTTTCTAGAAAAACAAAAATAGATGAAATCAAGGCAAGATAATTTTAAGGTTTTGTGACATTTTGTGGTTTGGTCTTTAAATGTGATAAGAATGATCAGACATTCTAATATTAAAACTAAATTATAATTACATACATGTCATATATGTAATTACATATAACTAGACATAACTACATATAGTCAACTAAAGTACATATAATCAACATTTCAATTGCCAAGCCCAAAAGATATAGAAATACATAACTTGAATGACATCAAACTTCCCTCATCTGTTACTCAAAAGAATATTTCAAAAGTGATAAGGGCAATATGGAGACACACTGGATGGTTTCTGCCACAACAGTTATTTAATAGCAAGTCCTAACTCTGAATGCTTAAACATTGAGTAAATATTAAGTCTTCAATGGCTATAGTATCTGCTGCACTCACTAGCTTGTCAGCCAGAGTTATAGTTCAACTTGACTTAATAATGCTGATTCCCACAAAACAAGAATCATTGTATTCACAGCATATTTCCAAAATCACACACTAAAAGAAGTAAGGAATTCTTCTGAAAAGTATTCTTTCAAGCTAAAACATGCCAAACATAATATTATATTTATTCTGGGAACTTGATAATGATATTATATTGAAAACTACTGGTAGCAAATGAAGAGGCGCAGTATCTGTTCATCTCTCCTCATATTCCCTGGAACAGTACACAAAATGGCCCATACTTAGATGGTGCTTACTATACACAATACATGGTGCTAAGCACCTTACAAGTTTTGACTCATCTTGTTCTCACTGCAACCCTGTGAGCTAAGAGGTAGTATCATCATCATCATCTGCACTGCACAGATGAGGAAACTGAGGCACAAGAGAATTGCCAAGGCCCCATGGCTAGTGACTAACTGATTTGGAATTTAAACCCACTCCAGGCTTGGCACCTGTGGCTCAAGTGGCTAAGGCGCCAGCCACATACACCCAAGGTCGTGGGTTTGAATCCAGCCAGGGCCCGCCAAACAACGATGATGGCTGCAACCAAAAAAAATAGCCAGGCGGTGTGGAGGGCGCCTGTGGTCCCAGCTACTTGGGAGGTGGAGGCAGGAGACTCGCTTGAGCCCAGGAGTTGGAGGTTGCTGTGAG